CGGAACGACGTTTCATGAAATAAATCCAAGTCATACGAGAATAATCATCAACAAAGGTAACAAAATATTTAAAACCAGATTTGGACACAACAGGGCAAGCACCCCAAACATCAGAATGAACCAGTTCAAAAGGAGCATGTGCTCGTTTATTGACTCGAGGACTTAGACTACTTCGATGATGTTTTGCAAATTGACACGAATCACACTGTAAAGATGACACCTTATTGAATTGAGGATAAAGCTTCTTTAACAACGGAAGAGAAGGGTGACCTAGTCGATAGTGAGCCTCTAACACAGTTCCAATGCCAAGACAAGAGATTGATTTGGGTAAGGATGTATCCAAGAGATAGAGACCGGCCGACTCATATCCTTTACCAATAACCTGATTCGTCAACAGCTCCTGAAATACACAATGTCCAGAAAAAAAGGTTACGGAACAATTAAGTTTACGTGTGATTTTGCTGATCGAAATCAAATTGAAAGCAAAATTTGGAAGACTTAGGACGGGTGACAAAGGTAAGGTAGATGTTGGGACAATTGTACCCGTACCAAGAACGGGTGACGTAGATCCGTCAGCCAAAGTCACACTAGAAGTATGAAGAGGTGTGTGGAATGAGGAAAAAAGACTAGGATTACCTGTCATATGATCTGTTGCTCCTGAATCGATAACCCATTTTGAGGATGAAGATACAAGACATGTGTTTGGATTACCTGAATTAGCTACAGCTGAGATAGGAGTAGATGAATGCTTTAGAGCCTCCTGGTAACCTAGGAATTTGGCATATTCCTCCGAAGACATAATGATGGATCCATTAGATGGATGTGTAGCGGAAGCAATGTGAGCGACTTGATTTCCTTGATTTTTGAACTTTAGCTTTCGACAATCTTTGATCAAGTGTCCGGGTTTCTTACAGTAGTTGCATACTACTCCTTTGCCAATCGTTCCTGTGCGTGGCCACTTCTCACCTCCATTGGGGAATGTTGGGACTTGCCCTACAAAAGCATTGCTTGGCTGAGGTGCCGATGATGTGGATGAAGTGTCAGTGCGAAGCACTCTACTGAAAGCATCTTGAAGAGAAGAGACCACATCACTAGAAAGGATATGTGATTTGGCTGTTTCAAAATCAGACGTAAGACCGGCCAAAAAGCTCATGACTGCCATTTGTTCGCGTTGTTTCTGCTGCACTTTGATATCAGGACTAAAGGGCATTAAGGTATTAAGTTCTTCATACGTTTTCTTGAAATCCATAAAATTAGATGTGAGAGGCTTATCTTTCATTTCTGCACTGTAAAAGGCTTTGCACACCTCATAGATGTGGTTAAGATTACCTTTGCCAGAATACATAAATTCCAAATAATCAAAGAGTTCTTTCACAGTATAACAATGACTAACATACCCCAAGACGTCATTCTCCATGGAGTTCTGAATCTGGATAAATAATCTAGAATCATCACGAAGCCAGACAGCATTAGCAGCTCTATCAATCTCCTCTTTTGGCGGGTCATCAACTAAGTTTGTGTATTTATCAATGTTTCGTAAATAACGTTTGATAGTTTTACTCCATTCAAGATAGTTAGAGCCACAAAGTTTATTCTCAGTAATTTTAAAATTAATGGGAATAACTTCGGAAACTACCAAAGGCTGAGCATGTTGTACGGTGGAAGTGTTTGTATCAAAACCAGGCATTTTTTTTTGATTTTTTTTTTGACTTTTTTTTTAATTGCAGAAATAAGATGCTATGTATTAAGTAAACTTACAGCGACCAAAATACTATCCTTGATTGTCGTTGTTACTTAATAAGCAAAGTCACAGAAAGATAATACCGTTCAAGACACCGGAAAATAGTTCCGATGGATTCTCCGGCGATTGGGTCTGCGATTAGGTCTGCGAGGTCCTCTGACGGCGCGTGTGGCCTGCGGATTTCGAGTGTAAGGTCGGCGGCGGAAGGCGTGACTGCTTAGGGTGGAGGTGATGCTATGTGAAACTGTGGATTTTGGACTGAGGTTCTGAATTTTGGGCTAAGGTTCTGGCTGAGGCATGAACTGAGATTCTGAAAAATACTGCTAAGCTAAACTGGAACAGATTGCTCTGATACCATGTTGTAAGAATTAAAGATAGAATAGTAATGAGAAGAATGATTTTTGTGTATCTTTCATTGGAGGGTCAAGCCCATATATATATATACATTACAAAGATAGAATATTCCTTTAAGATTCTATACAATAATAATATCCTAGAGTCATCATCATTTTCATTTACCCCAGTGCCGCAAAGGCTCCCACCTACGGTGGGGTAAGGGGGGTCAGATGTACGCAGTCTTACCCCTGTACTAAAGCACAGAGAGACTGTTTCCGGATGACCCATAGTGAAAATCGCGTCCAAGATTGCATGGACTGACTGCTGCTCCATAACAAAGAAGCGCAGACAGTTTAGTGAGCCATTGTGCTTTATTCCATCATAATCTCAAGCCAAAAAATATTGAATCTTTGGCTCCATTGCAATTGATGGAAAAATAATATCCTAGAGTATATTCCTAAAATATTCTAAAGCATATTCTAAAGATAGAAGAATATTCTAAAACATATTCTAAAGAATATTCTATAATGTCTTTCACACGTTTCAACGTCTTAAGAAGGCGCTGACTGAGGCACCTGTGTTAGCTATGCCCCAGTTTGACCGACAATTTGTGGTGGAATGTGATGCTTCCGGCACCGATGTGGGAGCAGTACTTATGCAAGAGCGGCGGCCTATTGCTTATTTCAGCAAATCTTTGGCAGACAGAACCCTCACCAAGTCAGCCTATGAAAGAGAAATGATGGGATTAGCCTTAGGAGTTCAACATTGGCGTCCATATTTGATTGGGAGGCAGTTTGTGGTTCCTACAGATCATCGCAGCCTCAAACATCTTCTCACGCAGCGCATAGCAACACCAGCACAACAGGTTTGGGTGGCGAAATTGTTAGGATATGATTTTGTTATTGGATATAAGACAGGTATCTCAAATGCAGCGGCTGACGCCTTATCAAGAAGAGGGGAGGAAACAACCTTGGCTGTTGTTAGTGGACCTGAATGGTTGGGACTGGCCGATGTGCAAGAAGAGCAGAGACGAGACAAACCTTTGCAAGAAATTGTTCAGGCATTACTAGCAAATCCGACTTGTAAGCCGGGTTATGAATTATTGGGGGGTCATTTGTTCTTTAAAGGCCGCTTGGTGCTGGCTCCGGATTCTAAGTGGATTCCTCACTTGTTGAAGGAATTTCATTACACGCCGACAGGAGGTCACGCAGGTGCTTATCGCACCTACCGCAGAATAGCTATGAATGTGTTTTGGAGGGGAATGTTCCGAAGAGTGCAGAATTACGTTGCCCAGTGTTTGGTTTGTCAAAAGACCAAGTATGAGGCTATGTCACCAGTAGGACTGCTGCAGCCATTCCCCATTCCGGAGCTGGTTTGGGAAGATATCTCAATGGATTTTATTACTTGCTTGCCCAAGTCAAAAGGGTTCACAGCTGTTTTGGTGGTAGTAGACTGTTTGTCCAAATATGGACACTTCATCGCACTCAAGACCCCATCACAGCGCGTTCGGTAGCCGACGCGTTTTCCAAAGAAGTGGTTCGGTTACATGGCATTCCGCGGTCTATTGTTAGTGATCGTGATTCCTTGTTTGTGAGCACATTTTGGAAAGAGTTGTTTGCACTTTCGGGGGACACAATTAAAATTTAGTTCTGCTTATCACCCGGAAACTGATGGACAAACAGAGGTGCTGAACCGGGTGTTAGAAACTTATTTGCGTTGTTTCACTTGTGAGCAGCTGAAGCAGTGGTTTAGGTGGCTGCCATGGGCTGAGTATTGGTATAATACTGCTTTTCAGACAGCAGCCCGGGTGTCTCCATTCGAAGTTGTTTATGGAAGGCCGTCTCCTACCATTCGGCGGTTTCTGCCCAGCGAGAGTAAAGTGGCTGCTGTGGCAGAAGCTTTGGGCAGCCGTGACGTCATGATGACTCGTTTGAAGGACAACTTAGCAAAGGCACAACAGCGCATGATTACGCAGGCAAATTAACATCGTCGGAAAGTAAATTTTCAAGTGGGGGATAAGGTATTTCTGAAGGTTAGACCACATAGACAGTCTACGGTGTTTCGCCAACCTTACCATAAGCTTTCACCTAGATTTTATGGGCCATTCTTGGTGGAGGCACGAATAGGACCAACAGCCTATAGGCTGGCTTTACCTTCCACCAGTCGCATACGTCCTGTGTTCCATGTGTCCCAGCTGAGGCAGGTGGTGGGTGACTACCCGATAGAGAGTGAGCTGCCAGAAAGTTTGGAGCTACCATTGGGGCCGGTGTTTGAGCCGGAAGAGGTGTTGGCTTGGCGCACAGCAAGTGAAAATGGGGTGGATATGGAAGACAGGAAGAGCTGTTGGTCAAATGGGTGGGGCAATCAAATGATGATGCTACTTGGATGAACAAGGAGAGTTTTGTTAACCCGTTTCCAGATTTCAACCTTGAGGACAAGGTTCTCTCGAATGAGGATGAAGTTGATAGAGAGCAAGAAGAGCTGAGAGGAGGGGCGGAGGAAGTGGATCAGAGCCCCAGACCTTTGCTGGTCTACCGCAGGCGGGGACGGGCCTGAGCCCACCTTCGTGGGCTGGCTCTAGTTATTTTAATTAATAAGTTTTAATTATTCCTAATATTTTGTTTCCTAGTGTGGTTTAATTAGGACTTCTATTCTTATTAGAATTAGAGGTTTCCTATTCTATTTAGTTTCCTAATATGATTTAATTAGGATTCCTATTATGTTTCTTACTAGGATTTAGTTTCCTATTCAGTTTTGGATGTAAGGGTTATATAAACCCCTGCCTAGGCTTATTAAAAGCAGGCATTAATAATATTGGATTTTAGCTATTTAGCTTGGGCAACGGATTCTGCCGTTGATTTTTATTTCCATTCTCATTATATAATCACAATATCATCGACATTCACCACAAGCAATGTGATACCTGCTTTCGTTCTTCTGTAAAAGACAAAGTGATCTGATTGACCTTTTATCATTCCAAACCGTTCAATTGATTGACTGAATTTTCCCAAATCATGCACGAGGACTCTGTTTCATTCTTAGGGGCTGTTTACTTTTTTTTCATTAATTCCTGTATGGATTGAGATGAACTGTTTGTATTAAGATGTTGTTTGGATTAAGTGATATTCAGATAACAAACTGTTTACTTTGTGTTCTGAATGAGAAGACTGAATTATATTAAATAACCAATTTACCCTTAGGCTTGAAACCTCTTCTTCGTTAATCAATGGAATACCAATTGAAAAAGGCGTCGCTCGAAGCTCTTCTCCTCCATTAATCTGGAGCCATTTGCTTCTCAGGGTTTCTGGAGCCATTTGCTAAAGGAGAAGGAAAGGACTACTGGGAGATGAGGGTGGGTAATTAACAAGAGAAACAAGGGCAAATGAAGGCTTCTTCTAGTTACCTAACCTGCTTTCGTTGGCTTCCATTAGATTTAGATCTTCTATTTCAATTTCAGATTTTATCCTAAAAATTATAGCTATAGGTTTGATTTGGAAGAGGTAAGAAAACGGAAAGATTTATCTTCTTTGCAAAATTGTATGTGGGTCTTTTAACCCTCGATTCATTTGATAAAAAACTCAGCACCAAACACCATCCAGGAAGAAGATATATGGAGAAGGGAAATACGTAGCTCAAGTTGATGCTCAGGTAGATGGAGAAGGGGGAAATAAGAAGCTTACAGCCGCACACTCAGGTCCGAAGTTAGCGATGAAGGGGGTTAAAAGGGAGACTGCACATAAATATGTATGTCTGAATGGTAAGGAGTATTAAAAGTGGGCTGAACTAATAAGTCAAAAATGGTCTGAGCGAATAAGTCATGTTTTAGAATAAGTCCTAAGTAAACAAAAGTATATATCTGACCGATTAAGTCACAGTTTTCATTAAGTCCATTAAGTCGAAAGTAAACAGCCCCTTAGAGGTTGCTCAATATAAACTTTCTCCTGAAGGTCACCATGCAAGAATGCATTTTTAATGTCCAACTGCTCTAAGTGCCAACCATGAGTTGCAGCGAGTGAAATAAGTAACCTGAAAGATGTTAATTTAGCAACAGGAGAAAAATTGACAGAAAAGTCAACACCATAGGTTTGAGCATAACCCTTCACAACTAATCGGACTTTCAATCGAACGTCTGGATTAACCTTGACAGCAAAGACCCACTTACATCTAATAGACTTCTTCCCCGTAGGCAAGTCTATCAAATCCCTAGTATCATTAAGATACAAGGCATTCATTTCATCTACCATGGCAAGACGCCATTCAGGATGAGACAAAGTTTCTTTAATGAATTTGGGAATAGAAATAGAATCAATGGAAGCAATAAAAGAACATGAGGCAGGGAATAGATGACTATACGACATAAAGGAAGAAACAGGATGAGTACAAGACCGCGTACCTTTACATAGTGTTATCGGGATGTCAAGAAAGGATCTGAACATGTAGGTATTGGGTCGATCAGGACATGAGATCGAAGCCAGGATAAGTAATCACAGGTGTAAGGTGATATAATGCATTGTCTCGACGGGTGTAAACCAAATGTACTAAAGGCCTAGGGTCAGAAACATTAACATTCGATATAGTTATTGGAAGTGTGGGCTCAGGTATAGTAACTATGTAAATGAGTATTTCATCGTTGTCCTCATGAATATCTATCTTGGATGATGAAAAAAGTGTATTTTCATGAAATGAGACATCAATAGAAATAAGATATTAACCTGCACTCAGACAAAAACATCAATACCCCTTTTGAACTCGAGAATAACCTAAGAAAATACATTTTAATGATTTGGGGTGTAATTTCATGTGATGAGGGTTAACATCTCTCACATAACAAGTGAGACCAAATATTTTAGGTGGGATAGGAAAAATTTCTCTATTTGGAAAAAGGCATTGATAAGGACCTTTACCATCCAAAACAAAATTTGGCATCCGATTGATCAAAAAACATGAAGTAGACAGATGTCGATTCTTTCATTCAGCAACTCCATTTTGAGGAGGTGTGTCTACACTTGAAGTTTTTTGATGAATAATGTCATGTTGAAGCGTAAAAATTTTAAATGGAGCAGATAGATATTCTTGGGCGTTATCTCCCCTTAACACACGAACAGGCACATTAAATTGAGTTTTAATTTCAGCACAAAATGTGGGAAAATGAGTAAATAATCGACGTTTCATAAAATATAACCATGTCATATGAGAATAATCGTCAACAAATGTAACAAAATATTTGAAACCAAATTTGGACACAACATGACATGCCCCACAAACATCGGTATGTACAATGATGTTTTGCAAATTCACACCACTCACATTGTATAGATGACACCTTATTAAACTGAGGATATATCTATTTCATTAGTGTGAGAGATGGGTGTCCTAAGCGGTAATGAGCTTCTAACAAAGTTCCAACCCCGAGACAAGAGATACCTTTTGTTATTGATGTATCCAAAATATAAAGACCAGCCGACTCATGTCCTTTATGAATAGTCTGCTTCGTTAACAGATCCTGAAACACACAGTATCCAGTCACAGAACAATTAAGAGTACGCGTGATTTTACTGATGGAAAGTAGATTAAACGCAAAATTAGGAAGACTCAAACATGTGATAATGGTAATGTAGAAGTTGGGACAGATGTACCGGATCCAAGGACGGGTGAGGTTGACCCGTCAGCTAAAGTGACACTAGAAGTGGGTAAATATGAATGAAATGATGAGAATAGACTACGATTACTGGTCATATGATCTGTGGCACCTGAGTCAATGACCCATTTCGAGGATGATGAAACAAGAGATATGTTTGAAATGCCTGGATTAACGACTACCGAGATAGGGACAGATAAATGCTTTAGAGATTCTTGGTATCAACTAAATTTGCCATACTCGTCTGAAGAAATAGCAATTGTTTCATCACATGAACGGGTAGCGGAAGTATGAGCAAGCTGATTTCCTTGATTTATGAACAGCAATTTACTACACTCTTTGATTAAGTGCTCGGGCTTCTTGCAGTAATTGCATATTACTCCTCTGTCAAATTGACCCGTACAAAGCATTGTTTTGTTTTTATTTTGTTTTTTAAACAAGAAAATAAAGGAATGTAACCTCAATATTCTTTGAATGTCGTACTCTCCATGTCCGCCCAATAATAGAGGCTCGGTAAAGATGTCCTTACCAAAAGGGAGTGCGTGAGCTGGCTGAAGACAAAAACCCTCTTCAATAATGGTCGGTCAGGAAGAAGCTTGTGCTCCAAGATTTCGGTTCCGCGTGCTCGTTTGCCTCTCTTTCCGGTATAGCTTATTCAAGAGCTGGAACGATCCTAACCATCCCAACGAGAAGCGACAGCAGAAGATAGGCGATGTGAAGGCGAGCCGGTCAGCGTTCATTGATCGTAAATCTGGTCGCAGAACAGACGTCACGCGCCGGCGCGTGAGTTGAGGTCAATGAGGTGTGGCGGCGCGTGTGGCTCACTCGCGTGGTGTTTGGGTGTCGAACTTTGGTTTCTGGATTGTCAGAGGTAGGCGCACCACCTGGGTACGGTGGTGAAGGAATGTTTGGCCTGAAAATTTCTGAGGACTGGTGGCAGACTGTATGCGAAGGAATTTTCTTGGAAATTAGCTATGCTAATTGATTTTCTGAATTTTTTTTGTTTATAGCTCTAATACCATGTTGAAATATAAACTAGAATAATACTGAGAATGATATTGAAGAGAAGAGGAAAGATTTTTTGTGTATTTCATTGAATGATTAAGTCCCTATAAATATACATTACAAGGATAGAATATTTCTATAAGATTCTTACGATAATAATATCCTAGAGTATATTCCTATAATATTCTAAATCATATTCTAAAGTATATTTTAATATATTTCACATTTACTATGTGCAACCAAAGAGAAAACGACTCGAGGTATGCATTCTTAGCTATTTCTATTCAAATAACTACGAAAAGATCTGTGATTCTACATTTTTAAGACAAAGTTGTGCTCCACTAACAAGGGAAAACATATATCAGTGTGAATTAGTTAGTACAAACTAACTTTTGAGATTTTGATAGAATATATATATAGTAGTCATGACTCCCTCAGTCCCATTTTGTAAGATATGTTTCCTATTCACTTGGTCAACACAAATCACTTTAATCTCTTAATTTATAAATCAAATTTTTATCAAATTTAATTCTGGTTTTTGAGACTTTGTAAAGCTTTTAATGTAGTTTCTGAATATATAATTCTTTTCTTTCTAAAAATAATTTGAGTGCGGACAGGGATCCATTTGCTTTATAGTCGGTCAAACATTGTAAACCGTTAAGTGTCTTACAATTCAGGACGGAGGGAGTATATTTTATGTATATATATGGTAGTTAATATAATCTATATGATAGACTATATATTCCATGTATATCTGATAGATTTTGTTTCCTTTTGTATTCTCCGACTTTCCGCTATGAGATCATTTTGTTATCATGCATGTCCCAAGTCCGGATAAAGGAGAAAGGTGTTGTGGTAGGTGTGTGACGGCCAACAATAACACTTAGTGGCACATCAAAAATATGTATCACTACAGCTAAGTCGTTGCCCGTAAGCGACACATCATCCCTTCATCTGGGGTGGTGTCAAATATGCAAGGCACGCTACACTTCATAGGCATGGGTGTGGTGATCAGAATGCTAAGGTTGCTAGGTCGTCGCTGGAAGCGACGCACCACTCTGATGCCGGCGGATGGTGTCAAATACGCAAGGGCATGGTGGGGCCGATGTGATGTGAAGAAGAGAAGGTAAGGTGCTAGATTGTGTTTTGGCACGTGGAATCTTAACTCTCTTACGGGAAGATCATCTCAGGTAGTCAATGTCATGAGGAGGAATACTAGCATTATGTGCGTGCAAGAAACTAAGTGGGTTTGAGAAAAGGCACGTGAGATTAATCCCAGAGGTTTTAAGTTGTGATACTCGGAAAGAGAGAAGACTATAAACGGAGTAGGCACTATTGTGGCATGTGATTATGTTGAGGGTGTGGTGGAAGTCTTTAGCAAGAATGGTCGCATCAAGAGCATTAAATTGGTAATAGGAGATGAGATCATGTATGTGGTAAGTACCTAAGCATCACTAAGTGGGACTGAATGTATCTATCACTCAATAATTTTGGGGGATCTTAAGGAAGTGATCCATGTCCGACATGGTTTTGGCATTAGAAATGAAGCGGGGAAGAACATTCTAGATTTTGCCTTGACATATGAGTTCGTTGCAATGAACATTTGGTTCAAGAAAAGAGACTCACCTTTGTGACCTATAGAAGTGGACCTAATAGTATCCAAATTGACTACTTTTTAGTACAGACGACTTGGAGAACTTGTTAAAGTGATTCTAAGATTATCCCAAGGGAAAGTGTTGTCACTCAGCATAGAATGCGTGTGCTTGATTTTCAAGGTAAGAAAAGAAGGCAAGTTAAGGTACAAGTGGAGCCAAAGATGAGTGAGATCTCAAACAAAGTTTGGCACACAAAATGTTGGTGAAAGATGTATGGTGTATTAATAATAACGCAAATGTGGATGTTTTGTGATTATCAATGGAGTCAACCATTAACAAAGTTGCGAAGGAGATACTCGGAGAGTCTAAAGGATATCTACCACAAAAAAAGAACACTTCTTGGTGGAATGATGAGGTGATATAAGCAATAAAGACTAAAAGAGAATGCAACAAAAAGTTGGACAATAGTTGGAGCGATGAGAACATAGAACAGTACAAAGGGGCTAAAAAAGCAAAGAAAGCCATAAAGGAAGCAAGAGAAAAAGTGAACAAGTAGTTGTATGTAAAATTGGACTCTAAGGAAGGAGAAAAAGATATTTACAAATTTGTTCATCTTCGTGATCGTAGGACTCAAGATATAAGAAAAGTTAAAGTGTGTGAGGATGTCGATCAAAGGGTACTAATGGAGGACGGGGAAAGAAAAGAGAATTGGAGGTCATAATTTGATACCTTGTTTAACGGGAATAAAGTACAAGGTATTGATGAATGATGATCTTACTATATCAACTTGTATGGTAAATCGGTTATATCACGAGGATTTTGTGAGAAGAATCCAAATGACAGAAGTTAAGATGCCCCGAGGAAGATGGGACGGAAGAAAACAGTAGATTCAAATGACATACCAATCGAGACCTGGAGAAGTTAGGGAGAGAGGCATCGAGTGGCTAACACGTTTATTGAACATGATTTAGAGAAACAACAAAATGTAAGTGAGTTGGCAGAAGAGTACTCTTATTAGCCTATTTATAAATACGGGCGATGTACAAGAATGTGCCAACTATCAAGGGATTAAGCTTATGAGTCACACCATGAAACTTTAGGAGCGAGTGGTTGAGAAGAGACTCCGAAAAAGGGTGAAAATTTCAAAGAATTTATTTGGTTTTATGCTTGGACGCTCAACAACTGAGGTCATTCACTTTATTAGCCTAATAAGAGTAATATTACATGTGGTGTTTATTACAACAACAACATCCAAGCCTTAATCCCAAAAGAATTTGGGGTCGGCTAACAAGAATCGATCTATGATATCGATGCCAAACAAAGAGACGGACAAAGAGGGGGGGAAGAAGTAAGATAAAATGGATAAAATAAAGATAAATAAATATAAGATAACAATAACATAAGAATATAAGAAAGATAAAAGAGAGAAAAATAAAAGAGCATAAAAAGCTAGAAGATAAAAATAGTATAAGAATATAAAAGATAAGGAAGATAACGATAAAAGAAAAGAGAGGAAATGTAGAAAAGACATCAATCGTCCACACGGATGTGTGCCCTCCACTTTGCTCTCTCCAAAGCCATACTCTCATCCAACCCAAGAAGACGCATATCAGTTCTGATTCCTCTCATTCAAGTCTGTTTGGGTCTTCTTCTCCCTCTCTTGTCTGTCTCTTCTCCCCACCCCTCAAGTCGTCTAACGGGTGCATCAGTCGGTCTTCTACGCACATGCTCAAACCACCGCAAACGGGACTCCTGCGTCTTATCTTCTATAGGTGCTACTCCCACCTTTTGCATTTGGTGTTCATTAACTTAGAAAAAACATATGATAGGGTACCTCGAGAAGTCCTTTAGTGGGCCTTGACTAAAAAAACATATCACATAAGTATATCAGTATCATCATGGATATGTTTGAGACTTTGAGGATTGTACTACAAGTTTCCCTACTAGTGTAGGGAGAACTACACAGTCCCTATTAATATCAAAGTGAACCAAGGATCGGCTCGGAGTCCTTCTTATTTGTTATAGTCATGGATGAACTTACAAAGTCAATTCAAGAAGATATACCACAGTTCATGATGTTTGTCGACGATACTGTATTGATTGATGAGACGCAATCGGGTGTTAAAGTAAAGTTAGAAATATGGCGACAAACATCATATCGATTCAGAATCTCGCGGCCACCGATTCAGAAGTTTGTGCCCACCGATTAAGAAGCTTGGGGCCGTTTTATAAGGATGCCTCCTCTGGTCTAGAAAATGAAGTCGTTGAGTCAGAAGTTCACTGTTGTAATCCCGAAGCCGTCGGCCACCAATTCTAAAATTCGCTGCCACCACCAATCTGGAAGTCCGCAACTCCCGATTTCAGAAGCTCTCTGCTGCCACATCCATCGATTTGAACGCTTGACGCTCATCTCAACGAGGAGGAGGAGGGGGGGGGAGGGGGGGGGGGATTTTTCTGGAAGGTGGGAGGACAAGAGTTATGAATGGGGCTGCAAGTTAGATTTAGGATTGATTTGTAATACTTATATTAAGGGTATTTCAGTCCCTTCATTTCAATTTAGTCTCTTTTTTGTCCATATTGAAATTAGGTCTTATTTTTGTCCCATCCAAACCTGATAGTATTATTTATGACATTATTTCAATATTTTATGTATATTTGGCAGATTTTGTTTCCTATTGTACTCTGACTTGTGTGTATTTATACCGGGTACACCCAATGAATAATACACCGTGATTTCATTGCATCTTTAATCTCTATTACTCAGATTACAGAATTTATTATATTGAACAGCAGTTACTCAGCAACAAAACATCAGTTTCAGCTCCATGTTATTTTTTTTAAATGCTAAACTAAAATAATATTAGTAAGTCAAAGAATCATTGGACCTCAGCTGCAGCAAATCTTGACTTAGCTTCATCCATTTCCTTTTGTACTCCTCTCAGGGAAATCCAAATGGACTACAAAACAAGGAAAAGATTACACCAGACAAAAAGAGAGATCAATACAAATATGGCTATAGCAGACTTGTGCAGTCACCTGTACTGAGAGAACAGCGGAAATGGTAATTATTTCCTCAGAGCATCCAGAAGCACTTGAAGCCAAAATCATTTTTGAGATCATTGGGTCCTTTTAAATTATTAACATTAAAGAGTGCACAATTAGTTGACACCTCTCTAGCCAAGTCTTACAGGATACTAAAAATGCAAACAGTACTGCATAATTCTTGCAACGTACCATTGGAATCTCAGCGACTTGAAATCCAGTAGGTGAAGTTAGTTTAGCATCATCATCTAGGACCTCAAGAGAGTACAATATTTCGAGTGCTCTAATCATTGCTTCAGGTGATGGAGATGCAGGCCAATCAAAGCCTAATATATTGTCAATCCCCAAGGCCTTTAACTGTAAATGGAAAGAACAATGCAAGCATAAGAAATGTAAATATGTTCTCTTGGGAAACTAAGAGAAGGTTTAAAATCAGCAAATGATATTTTGGTTTAAATATGCTGCATAAAGCTAAACTACCTAAAACGATTTGCCAAGATCAAATATCTATGCTTTACACTCAATTAAACAATGAGTGGATCTTATTATGAGGGTTTTGACAAGCCAGTCATCTAATGCATAAAATTATGTCCTCTGAAGTCTTTGTATTTTCTATTACCCTACTTATCTATTTAAAAATATTAATCTCAACAACAAACAACAACATCCAAGCCTTAGTCCCAAAAGACTATTTAAAAATATTACTGTGTAATTAACATTAATAAATTACTGGTTCCTCAGTCCTTGCTAAAAAGAACATTTAGATCTGAATCTTAGGCAGGAATCCTGTTGGACTAAAGACTCCATCTTAACAGGTTAATACCTATTTAAAACATATGATGTGTGAACTTATTAAATAGGTAAAAATCAAGCATTAATTGATTTTAAAGCATACCTGAATAATACATGAAACCAGGTTTGACCTCTGTATCTCTGGAATTCCCTGGGAAGGCATCTCATTTATGAAACACTCTTCAGTATAAAGCCTGGATATTCAGAAGAAAAAGGGCCAACATATAATTTTGTATCAGATTATCATATTGAAACGTGAATGTAGCAACATGCAGCGGAACGAGTAAAACAAATCATATTCACATTACAATGCTATATGTTAGAATGGCTTGACATGTAACATTTCCATCTACTTTTGTGCATCTGAACTCTTAAGTCAATACCTGAAGCATTTTCCAGGTCGAACTCTTCCAGCCCTACCAGCTCTTTGTCGGGCTGATGCCTTGGATATGGGGGCCACTATCAAGTTTTCAATGTCTGAAATCTTAAGCAAAGTAGAACTAAAATGAGAAATGCAAAAACCGCATTAAATGTGAACAAATAACACACTTCATCCACATCTCAAGTTTTGTCCCTCTTAAAGCAGCAGCAGACTAAGAAGCACAGAAACTTCCCACACCTTCACGTTTCCTCCTTTCGGAACTCAGAAGCGTGTTAGAAACTTGAAAATATTAAACTCCCGTTATGGGACTGTTTCCATATTAAAAAAATAGTGAAGTTTTATGTGACCTCTTCCTAGCACCATTGTGATATTTCATAATGCAATGCATTGCTAGGAATATATTGCATTATAGTTTAATTATGTACCAATTATGTACTAATATGTAACAATTTCAAATTTTAAGATTTTAAGCATATAGACTATATATTATTATTGGTTGATAAACAAAGTTATATAACTAAAATGCACATATATAATTATATATAAATGAAAGAAACATGCATACATATATTATAAAAATTTATAAATATGCCCTTATATTTGTGGGACGATTTTCAAATGGGTCCTTATAGTATAGTCAACTCAGCAATATTGCCCTCATACAAAAAAAACAAATGAGTACACTAACTGCAAAAAACAGCCGATCTCTCCCCTTTGAAGGATACCCTCCGGTTTTCAAAAATTTAAACTTGTTAAATAATAGGATAAATAAGTATTTAACTAAGTCACATGTATTTAGAGGTCTGTTGTAACTAGTCAATACGGTTAGCATATTATTAGCATAGATCCTATTTTCTAGGAGTTAGTAGATTAGATTGTACTCTACTTAAATCAGATCCTTGCGAATGAAAGATAGATCAGTCCGATCACAGAGATATTATCTCTCTAGGTTTTCTCTCTCATCCGCTGATCAGCCATGAGAACCCTAACCTCTGATAATATTAGCACCGACTCAACCAGTCAATCCATTCGTACTGGTGGTGCAAATCTATCTCCTCAGTCTGATTCTTTTCAAAGTATCTCAATCACCTCTCATAAATTGAATGGAGGTAATTACATGCAATGGTCACAATCTGTGAAAATGTTTGTTCAAAGGTGAGGAAAGTTCGGCTATCTAACAGGATCCACAGCCAAGCCAAAAAGAAGGAGAAGAAGGGTTTGATCGATGGGAAGCCGAGAACTCCATGATTATGTCATGGCTTGTGAACTCAATGGATTCCGATGTCGGACGTACCTATTTATTTCTACCAACAGCAAATGCCATCTAGACTGCCGTTAAAGAAACTTATTCTGACTTGGGAAATGCTGGTCAACAATTCGAGATCAAAACTCAATTAAGTAAGACACGGCAAGGAGAAAGAAGCATGACACAGTATTACACCGAACTCAAAACTCTTTGGCAAGAGTATGACATGTTCTGTGACTACTGACTACACGTGGAGCTGCCCAGAAGATAGTGCCTTCTATCAGAAGACTATCGAGAAGGAGAGAGTATTTGACTTCCTTGTTGGACTGAACAAAGAACTTGATGAGGTTCGAGGTCGAATACTTGGAAAAGATCCATTACCCAGTTCAAGAGAGGCATTTGCTGAAGTATGGAGAGAAGATAGCCGCAGATATGTGATGCTTGGTCCAGAAATTTCATCACCAAGTGATGAAACATCAGCACTTGTCACCTTGAAGAATGATGATAAGCCAGAAGTCTCTCCTCGCAAAAAACCGACCATTTTGTGACTACTGCCACAAACTAGGACACATCAAAGCAAAGTGTTGGAACTTGGAAGTTACATGGGAAACCTGCAAACTTTACACCAGTCAACAAGTCTCAGAGGAATATCTGAGGTGGTTTCCAGGTCTCTGCAGAAGAATCAAATGCCTATCAATCCTCCAGTGACAACTTTTCCATCAAGGAAAACCTAGATCAATCGTGTTGTATACTGAGCACACATCAGTTTGCTAATAACCTTAATCTCAACTCATCCAATCCATCATCCTCATTGATCCAAAAAGGTACATATGCAGCAGCATTTAATCTTAGACTAGATAAATCTGACCCTTGGATCATTGATTCAGGGGCCACATATCATATGACAGGATACCCATATCTGTTTTCCACATATTTTCCATGACCTGGTCATAAAAAAGTTAAAATTCCAGATGGTTCTTTGCCTGCAATAGCTGGAAAAGGATCTATTATTGTCTCTCCTTTACTCACATTAGCCAATGTCCTACATGTGCCTAATCTTTCATGTAACCTTCGGTCCGTCAGTAAAATAACCAGTGATTCTATTTGTTATGTCAAATTTGTTTCTTCTGAGTGTGTTTTTCAGTAGAACAACTCGGGGAGGGTGATTTGTAGTGCACAAGAAAGTGGTGGACTCTATTACTTTGCCTCAGACAGCATTGAGCGTAAACAAGTTCAGAAACCATGTTCTTCTAGTTGTTTATCTTTAGAGAATGAGATAATGTTATGGCACTATAGATTAGACCATCCTAGTTTTAGTTATTTGAAACATTTATTTCCTATTTTATTCAAAAATAAAGATGTTGAAGGTTTTCAATGCGAGATTTGTCAATTGGCTAAACACAAGAGATCTGTTTATCCCTCTTTAAATTATATGCCATCTAAACCATTTGCCCTAATTCACAGTGACATATGAGGACCATCTCGTGTCAAAACTCATTCTGGTGCAGGATGGTTTATTACATTAATTGATGACCACACACGAAATACTTGGATTTACCTTCTTAAACAAAAATCTGAAGCTACTGAAACATTTAAAATTTTTAATTCTATGATCAAAACTCAGTTTCAGTCTCAAAATCAAGTTTTTCGAACTGATAATGGCAGAGAATATTTCAATCAAATTCTTGGAAGTTTTCTGGTTGGGCAAGGCATAATCCATCACAGTTCTTGTGTAATTACACCTCAACAAAATGGAATTGCCGAGAGAAAAAATAGACATCTTTTAGAAATAACTCGAGCTTTAATGTTTTCTATGAATGTTAAAAAAAAACTGTGGAGAAGCCTTACTCCATGCTGCATACCTAATCAATAGGATGCCAAGCAAGATTCTAGGCTATCAAACTCCTTTGAAAACTCTACAAACTTGTTTTCCCCATAATAGGTCTTTCACAGAATTATCTCCTAAGATATTTGGTTGCACTAGTTTTGTTCACAATCATGCAATTAATCGCAGCAAATTGGATCATAGAGTTATCAAATGTGTATTTTTAGGTTTTTCAAACACTCAAAAAGGTTACAAGTGCTTTGATGTGAGCTCGGGTAAAATGTTTGTTAGCATGGATGTCACGTTTTTTGAAAATCAACCTTTTTTTGAGTAATCTTCTCTTCAGGGGGGAGAATTTAGAAAATAATGAAGATAAGTTTTGGAATTGTACTGTACTTCCTATTCCTATGTTTAATGACCAGACTGAGATAGCTTATGACAAACCTGCTAGAACAATTAATTCTACTCCTCATAAGGATTCTGCAACTATTAGAAACATGGCACCAACTACTGAACTCCGTGTTTATTCTAGAAGGAAAGAGAGGCAAGGAACTACTCCACAACTCACTACTGCACAACCAGTCCCTAACCTGAGTATCACTCCAGGTAATACTCAAATTATCAATCCTATTCTCGAGTCTGAAGTCTGAACCCCTATCTGATCCCAGTGATCTGAGTGAACCAATAGCCATTAGGAAAGGAGTTATAACTTGTACCAAACACCCCATTGGTAACTATGTGTCCTATCACAACCTATCACCAAACTTTAGAGCCTTTACTACTAGCATTACTGATGATGGAACTCCAAAACGATACATGAAGCTCTAGGTATTCCAAAATGGAGAGAGGCTGTTCTTGAGGAAATGAGGGCATTAGAAAAAAACCAAACGTGGGAATTGACAAAACTTCGACAAGGCAAGCAACTTGTTGACAGCAAATGGATCTTCACCATCAAATACAAATCTCATGGTACGATAGAAAGGTATAAAGCTAGACTTGTAGCTAGAGGATTCACTCAAGTATATGGTCTAGATTATGAGGAGACCTTTGCCCCAGTTGCCAAACTCAATACTATCAGAGTTCTTTCTTTAGCTGCAAACTTAGACTGGCCACTACTACAACTTGATGTTAAGAATGCATTTCTTAACGGGGACTTGGAAGAGGAAGTTTTTATGCAAGTTCCACCTGGCTTTGATATTGATAGTACTGCAGGAAAGGTGTGCACACTAAGGAAGGCGTTATACGGACTCAAACAATCGCCTAGAGCCTGGTTTGGGAGATTTGAAAAGACTGAAGAAAAGGAGTTACACTCAAGCACAATCTGATCACACTTTATTCTACAAACATAGTGTAGAAGGTAAAGTTGCAATATTAATTGTATATGTTGATGACATAGTGTTGACAGGAAATGATGAAGAAGAGTTGTCTGCACTGAAGAAGTTCTTGGCTCAGCAATTCGAGATAAAGGACTTGGGAAATCTCAAGTACTTCCTAGGCATGGAAGTTGCCAGATCGCAGAAGAGCATTGTGACATGTCAAAGGAAGTATGTACTTGACTTGCTTAAAGAAACAGGTCTGCTCGGATGCAAACCTGTCTCAACTCCAATTGAACCAAATAAAAACCTTGGAAGAAGTGATTCTATTTGTTATGTCAAATTTGTTTACATTTCTGTTTTCATAACTCCACTTAGTCAGGTTTAGAACTGATTTGAAATTTTATTTTGGTCGATCTAAGAGTTAAAAATTCAGATTTAGGGTTTTATATTTTTTTAAAGAAGAATAAAGAGGTTAAAGAGAAGTAGTTAAGCCACACTGGCACCACAAAAAACTCACCAACCCAAATCCAGAAACTTTCTTCAGTAGTACGGCTCTCTACTAGCAGATTTTTCACTCAAAAAATTGAGGAAAAACGTAGAGAAATTCACATTCATGAATAGAATATTGTCAATCCACAATCGCTCTCACTCACCAGGGAAATAAAAAACAAAGCACCTTCCTTAGTTTCCACACCGTGATAAGACCAGTCGAGAT